AAATATATGTTAGGTAAATGGAGTTTGACGGAATGGATTCAACTGGCTCAGGACTGGTAACTGGCTCTTGTGAACACGGTAATGAACCTTCGGGTCCCATAAAACATGGAGATTGCGCGACCATCAGCTTATCAAAGAAGTACTCTGCTCCATGAAGTTTGTTGAGGATATACACAAAGCGATAGCAAATCTGTCGGCCGAAACGTCCTTACGATTAGGTTCACAGTTACTTCAGACTTTCTGATACTGATTTAATTTAAGGAAACTTGAGTCACAACATTTCCATGGTAACACGACGATTTGTTTCTGAAAATCTCACGAGTACTTAAATTGAGGGGCACATTTGAAACAGAAAAACCAAGGATCTTAAGCGAGATTACTCACGCGAAGCCTACAAAGGGCTACAATCGATACTAAGTTCGAGTCATGTGTCAAGTCGACAGACCCCGTGGTTAACTGTTCCATCACCTTCACACCAAGTTCATGCAAAGTGCGCCTGTTATATACAACAACGCGAATAGGTCTACGCGGTAAATTCTACTCCGGACTTACATCAGCGAACCCCCCCCCTCTCTCTCTCTCTGTGAAATACAAATATGGAAGTGCAAGCCGGAATTTAACACGCAGCGAGGGGGGGAATCAGGTCTGAAACCAACGTCCAAATGCTGCAATTTCGAAAGCAATATGCAAAGAATTACAGAAAGATAACCTACACGTTCAACTCCGTTCTAAGCTCCCTTGCTTACAGACTCTTTCGTCTCCATACGCGCATAGGCAAACTACAAGCGCCAATACGCTCGAAAACACGGAACAACCCGTAATATCGACTCCACAGGCCTGGAACCAAAAGTGTGGGACAAAACTGACCGAGTGCCGCCTAGAACAGCCCACGGACAACGGAAACAATCAACAAGTTGGGGTGACCCCAGGGTCTGCGGTGATTAGTTGGCTGAAAACCAGTAATCTGATGATGAACTAATTAAACATGAACCAACCACACATTTGTAGGCCTATAGGAAGCGGGAACCAATCGCTCTCGTACAAAAATACAACTTGTCCTTTAGGATTCCAACATGCAGTGCTTTGATTTCAGAAGACAAAACATTTTAACCTGGTCCCCAAAGAGGCAACAGGTTCACTCCACAGTCCACGACCTTTCTTAAAAGCATCATACTGAACTGGACGTCACACTAAGGTTCATTACCGTGTTCACAAAACCCAACCATTGTCCCAAAACAATTCATTCATGATCATCTCTTCGCACTGAATTTCAATGGCACGTACCAACATTCTGCACGTAAATTTGCCATGCCTACTAAATGTCCCGTCTATCCCATTTCCCTAGATTCGACCGTTCTAACAGAACTGAGTGCAGAATAGATATTAAGAGTATCCTCAAGAGATAAATACAAAAGTTTCACATCTATACAACTTGGAATTGTGGTGCTGTGTCTTTTAATCTCCGGGGCGGAAGATAAAAGATTCTAGGGTGGGATATCAGTGTCGTGATATCATTATCTCATCATATCTGCAGAATTTTTAATATCATACTCATGGCATTTACGGAAGTATAAAAGCTTCCACCGTGACCAATCGACGGTACATGAGCGCGCAATGTCTAAGAGCACCAGGAAAATTGTTTAACGTAAGAATGTTCTCAAGTACAGCCAATCAGAGACGTCCGTTTACTTTTCCGCAGATAATGTATAATGCGAGATGTGGACAAATCTGAGTTAGAAAGAGACCCCAAGGACTGGTGGGAGGATAATAAAATATATGTTAGGTAAATGGAGTTTGACGGAATGGATTCAACTGGCTCAGGACTGGTAACTGGCTCTTGTGAACACGGTAATGAACCTTCGGGTCCCATAAAACATGGAGATTGCGCGACCATCAGCTTATCAAAGAAGTACTCTGCTCCATGAAGTTTGTTGAGGATATACACAAAGCGATAGCAAATCTGTCGGCCGAAACGTCCTTACGATTAGGTTCACAGTTACTTCAGACTTTCTGATACTGATTTAATTTAAGGAAACTTGAGTCACAATATTTCCATGGTAACACGACGATTTGTTTTTGAAAATCACACGAGTACTTAAATTGAGGGGCACATTTGAAACAGAAAAACCAAGGATCTTAAGCGAGATTACTCACGCGAAGCCTACAAAGGGCTACAATCGATACTAAGTTCGAGTCATGCGTCAAGTCGACAGACCCGTGGCTAACTGTTCCATCATCACCTTCACACCAAGTTCATGCAAAGTGCGCCTGTTATATACAACAACGCGAATAGGTCTACGCGGTAAATTCTACTCCGGACTTACATCAGCGAACCCCCCCCCTCTCTCTCTCTCTGTGAAATACAAATATGGAAGTGCAAGCCGGAATTTAACACGCAGCGAGGGGGAAAAAAAACCTGTTCCCGCAAGTCACGGCGCCGATAACTTATCTTGCGACCACAGTAGAAATCCCGTCATCTGACAGTCACGATTCGACCCCCGGCCGATAAATTGTGGGTCGGGACCTCGGCACAGCATCGGTCAGTGTACGGTGAGAAACTGCCAGAGGTCGGGCTCCTCAAGTCCTCGTTCTAGGGACCTCTCGCCACACTGTCGACAGACTCCTTTCTAGAAAAGTTTGTTCCGTCTTCCCCGTCCAGCGCAAAGCAAAAACAGACGAGAGCTGGAGCCAGTCCGCGGAACTATCGACACGAACAAACGTCGATTAAATCTTGTACGAGAGGTCATATCGATCAACTACAACCAGCGTCTCACAGTGCCTCGTCTTCGAGGCAGGAACACCATGTGAACTAAAAGGCAGACGCCAACGTTTCGAGAAAGCATATATCAACCTTCTTCAGGGCTGGAGTGAGGTTGTTGGCAAGACGATTTTCTACACTGGCCTTGAAATAACTAATTTAGGGTCAACCAAGGGTAATAATGAAGAAGATAAATGCCCCATGCAGGGAATCAGACAGGGGAAATGGTATAGCCCTTTAAAGGGACTGGAAGGGACCATAGATGATTTGGGGGATAGGCAGAGCCCATTCAGGGAACCACACAGTCTCCTCCAACTCAGACGAAACAAAGATCATCACGATTTTTAATGGCGCACTCCAGACGTGAAACAACGGCCTCTTGCGTTTGAGTTTTTAAATCGCTTTGGCAAGAGGAAAACCGAGCCTCCGGCATACACGTACCATTTCAAGAGGCCTCTTTAATTGGCAGTGATGCCCCCTTCATTGAAGATACGAATCTGCAGTCGCCAAAAGTTAATGACAAGAGACATTCTGCAAAAAATTACTTTTAATTGTACTTCGTTACATACTTTAATTTTAATTAGTGTTCTGTCTGACGACAGGTCCATATGAACAGGATCCTTCCATCCTTTTCTCGGACTGGGACCTGTTCATATACGTTCTTGGCAGATGATCCAGAAGTGGTTTGCCATTGCCTTCTTCTGTGTGTGAATGAAGTAATTGTTGGGATGCCACGGAGGAAAACTCCGGGTTGCCTAGACCACGGCCTTGCCCAACAAAAAATAATGTTATTAAGACGGCTATAATTAGCGTCTCAAATATACAACTCTTAAATAAGGTACCATTACCTATCGTCACTTCAGGTACAAGAATTTGCAACATGGAACATAGGAGTAGAAAATGTTTGTTACATTCAGTGGGGAAGGATCTCACCAGATACAGTAGGATGGTTCCCAGTGTGTTGAATAACGAGCCATGGAATAGCACAGGAACTTGTTTCTGGTAGTCGAAACACCTGGAAAGTGATCTGTCTGGTAGATACGTTGTGGAGGTTCCAAGTCTGAGAGTACAGGGCTGTATCACCACGGCAGAATCATCAGACGCAAGCAGATGAGGCAGTCTTGCATTCGCGAGTGGCTTGACTGACAACCAAGGAGATGTTCGTAGCATCATTCTTTCTCTACAGCGAATTGGTGATGTT